AAAAACTAGACTACAACCAATAGTCTAGCAAAAATATTGACAAAATGGCAGCCTTTCAAATGTGAAATTTCGATTTTTGGTTAAAATAGCGATATTTATTTTGCAACAACAAAACAACTATTACAGATATCGCTTTCATTTTAGTCCATTTTATGGGGAATCTCTTTTATAAGCACGTCAAATCGGAAAGCGGTATCTTTAATAGATTTTGCGCTATCACTTCAGTTTGGAAAATGTGGTTTCGCGGAAAACGTATTTAAAGTTTCGAATTTGGTTTAAATATGGATTTTAACTATTTATTTGTACTTAATCAGTCATCCCAGAACCATAAAGTAAATCTTCTATTTCCTCAAATAATTCTTGCTCAGCTAATTTTTCGTCATTTTGAGCTATTTTCGCTTCCCAAAACTCGAAAGAGCATTGGCGCTCAGCAGCTCTCAACTGTTCGGCATCGCGCTTAGTTGCGAAAAATTTTGTCTGAGGCCCGAGTTATATCCCCATCACCTCCATAATCCTTAATAATAATGTACACTGAAAAAAAATTGCTGGGTTCAAGTGAATATTTATTAAGGAGTATTGTGGTAATTTATTTTATTTGGATTAAATAAATATTATTTGAATGTAGCACACTGAAAGAAAAAAGGTGCTACATTCGAATAATATTTACTTAATCCAAATAAAATAAATTATTACAATATTCCTTGGTAAATATTTACTTGAAGATAGCAATTCTTCTTTCAGTTTAGTCACTTCGAAGAATAAGATTGTAAATTCCGTTTATGTCTTGCAGTAGCAACGACATTGGTCTTGCACGACCACGATTATACTAATAGCTAAAATAACGCCGGGTAGGGGGGGTAGAAGGAGGAGGTAACGAGGGAGGCACACGGGGTATTTTCAATTGAAACAAAACGCCGCTTCTATTCGTGACTTTTGCGATTTTTTTGGTAGATTTATTTTTTATAATGCACATGTTTCTCGTGAAAAAATTAAATTCCGTGTAAGAAATTAGCATATTATTTAGAGTTTCACGTTTCGGTACAAAATTCATTGGGGGGAAGGGGGCAGTCGACGGACGACTTAACGGGACACACGTTCGGACGACGACGACGACGAGACGACAACGTCGTGCCCGGCGTCCGTCGAGGTCTTTTGATAGATTTTCTCTTTTTCGTTTTTCTCTTCTTTTTTTTCTCATTTTTTTTCTTGTCTCTCGAAAGTTGAACGTCTCCTTGATCGGGGATTTCGTTTCGTTTTCTTTACTTTCTTACGCTTTTTCGTCCCCGTCGCCGTCTTTCTCCCGCGATAGATATACAACCCGAGAGTATCGCCCTCGCTCGCTCGCTCAATCGCTTCGCTTTCTCTCTCTCTCTCTCTCTCTCCCATGAAACTGAATCGGAGCTAATTGACTGATCGCGACGTGATATCCTTTTATTGCGATTATTTTCTGCGAAGCTCACGACGCGAACGCACGACGGAAATTTCAAGCGAAAAGGAAGCGTGCGCGCGCGCGTCGGTGGTTGGTCGGTCCCTCTCTTTTCCCAAGAAAAAACCCCTTTCGGTGGAAGGATGAAATTTTCCTTCCCTTTTCTTTCCCTTCGTTTCCCGGCGCGACTAGAATCTCCTTTTTTTTTACCCCGTCGAATTCGTCCCATTACGGTTCGCCGATTCGGCGAGAGGAACCGAAAGAACGCCCCGATGTACTTTGTCGTTAATTGTTAATTTTCTCCTTTTTTTTTCCTACTTCTCGTCACGACACACCGATACGCCGCTGCGGCGACGGAAACGATCGGTGGCCGGTGAGAAAACGCTTTGCATGTTGAACGACTTCGACGAGATACAGAAATCGTCACGCTCGATCGTATTCGATCGCATGGCGAATCATTCGACATGCAAAGCTCGCAGGAATCTGTTCGGAGGAGCAGAGGGATCGTTTCGTCGCCCGAAATTCCGCGAACTTTCTCCGTTTCGACAATTGATGGAACGCGCGCGCGCGCGCGCGACGCCACGCATCTTTCTCTCTCTCTCTCTCTCTCGTGTCGCGAAATGAAATTCTCTCGATGGAATTGTCCGCGTCGTCCGATCGTGAGCAGTCACACGCAACTTTTGCGACGAATACGAGCGCCGCTTGAACGACGACGACGACGACGACTGACGACGGCGATAATCCGAGCGACGAAGCGCGGCGGTTGGTTCGTCGAATTCGTCGCTCGGCGAGTGGATATATCGTTATTTTTTTTCTTTTCTTTTTTTTTCCCTCGGTTTATACATACTATACCGGTGGTGTGGTTACGCGAAGTGAAGTTAAACTGTTGGATTCGCCGTTGTTCTCCCGTTTTTTTTTTACATTTCTTTTCGCGGTATAGCCTCTGTGTGTGATTTTTTCGTTTTTCCCGTTTTTTTTCCTTTTTTAACGATGCTGATATTCACTGTTAACACATGCATTGTTCTTTTTTTGCAGTCAGTTACAACTGCGCGCCCTACGCTCGTTCGGCGCGTCACTTTAGTAATTTTTGCTTGTTTCTCGCGCCTCTCTCTCTTTCTTTCTCTCTCTCATTCTCTCTCTATCTCTCTCTCGCCGCTCTTGTCCCCGAGAGGCCGGTGTGTGTCTCCTTGGATTCTCTTTTTTCTTTTTTTGTTCTTTTTCTGTTTTTTAGTTTTTCTCTCTCTCTCTCTCTCTCTCTCTTTCTACCGTGTTTCTTGGGTTACACGCGCGGTTACGTTAAACGACGGAGGGCGATTGCGCGCGCGAAGAGAGTCGCGACGAGCACGCGGTCTGTCTCTCGCGTCTCTTCCGACGGACGTGGACCGTGGGTTAATAGAAAAGCGGTAAAGTGTAAGCGACATGCTCCGGTAAATCTCGCGCCCGCCGGGGGTTACCTCGCTGCCTCCTCTCTCCCGAGTATATGATCGAGCGAGATGATGATCATCCACCGTCTCGCGCGGTCTCGTCTTCGATTCGCGTCGCCGCCGTTTCGGCCGTACTACGATATCACCGCCTCGCTTATATAATCGTCTCTCTTTCACGACGTGTGTCGGTTAGAAATGTAAACTGCTGCCTGTCCGCGTAACGTAACCGCACGTTTGTCTCTTTCTCCCTTTTTCTCCACTTGGCACCACACTCACGCACACATTCTCTTTCTCTCTCTCTCTCTCTCTCGCTACTGTTTTCTCCTTATTACTCCCTTTTAATGAGCATCGAACCCGCTCCTTAAATCTTAAGCGATCGGATGTTACATCCCCGAGTTACGGCTTGCTTTCTTTTTTTCCAGTCTCCCCGACAGTCGTACAAATAAACGAAGGTATTATTATGCACTTTGCGGACTCAACGCACACACAGGTGTCCTGACAAACGCTACTTCACAAACGGGACGTGGAACAAGTGAGCCACACAGTTTGGTTTTTTTTTTAAAGATGATCGTGATGCATACAACGACAATGTTCTCTGGGCGGAATTTTTCTGCGGGCACCTATAGGTAGGAGAACGACTGCTACACGACGCGTGTAGTAGCCGGCGGCGGCGGCCGTTTCTTCCTTCTTTTTTTTCTCGTTTTCTTTTTCGACGAGCACAAAAACTAGATTACACACGACGACGGTAAACAACAACGACACTTATACGATGTCGATATGAATTTGACAGCTATGTCCAAACGGCACGAGAGCTCGCGGAGGACGAAAGATCCGGAACGTGTTTCTTTTTTTTCCGCACGCGTCTTCGCCTTCGCGCCTTTGTGCCGCCTGGATACAGACTCGAACGAAGAACAAAAAAAAAACGAAGTCCAAAGCCAATGATTTTTCGCCAGACAGAAAAATACTTCAACATCATTGTTGCTTGATCTCTTTTGCACTTTTTTTCTTTTATCTTTTTTTTTTTGTAAAGGAAGACATAATTTTATTTAACCGTCGACGATACTACAAACTAAAATTTTAAAAATTAGTTTTCCTCATGCAAAATTATATAAAGATAGATCATTTTTTTTATATATATATAATCTCTCTCTTTCTCTCTCTCTCTCTCTCTCTCTCTCCCTCTCTCTCGCTATCGTACTCTCGTGACAGTCTACGATTTCGTATTGTCAGTCGAGCCGATGGGTGATACGCCCGGGCTCCTATTCTGAAAGTCAAATCGAACGATCGCCGCATACGCGGTTAGCGGTTTAAAAAAAAAAAAACGACCTACCCGATGCATGGTCGAACGACGTCAAGATTCAGAGTACGGCCGGACGCTTTACTCACGGATATTAATCAATAAAGCGTAAAGTCAAATTAACAATAATCGATATCATTAGTACACGCTTCCGCCGGGGGGCCCACCAGGGGCCAAATTGACGCAAATACACTACGATTGATTGTAAAAATATGAAAGATAAACGCCTATTACAACAATTGCTTTCTGTTTTCGCGGCAAATGCGCGCTATAAAATGTAAGAAAAATTTCGTATATTATTAATCACGAGGATGCATCATCATCATCATATCATCATCATCGGTGCGCGTACATCAAGTATCGTTCTTTCCGCGTTTACGCCATTTATTGATCAACGGGACAAAATCGCGCGTAAAAAAAAAAAGAAGAAAAAAAAAGAGTGAAAGAGCAACACGGCAGAGTCCGGTAAATTTCGAGATAATAAGTAGATCAAAATGAAAACGAGTGAGTTCGAGACGGAGCTGCTGAACTACAAGCGAGAGACGCGCGCAGCTCCCCGAGACGGACAATATATATACGTACGATTCGCGCGTTTGTACAATCACATATATATTATATAATTGCCGTGTTTCTCGCAATCACGGTATGTGTTTCACCACTCCTTTTTCGATGGGAGGTCGCCGAGAGTGAAGGAAGCCTCGTTGTTGGGGGGGGG